TAGCTGAGAAAGAGGAATTTTCATTCTCACCAAGGTTAAAATGGAGAGGACTTTCTGAAAGTGGGTTTTTACATGTGAAAGAGAAATATTTGGAGGGCTTTGGATTTGGAAGAAGGATAAATAAAAAGTATGCCCCATTTCTGTAAGCACTTACTTCAAGAATCCTCACAAGAATCCCTGAAAGTTCTTATTTGTATAGGTTTGCCACATTTAGTAAATCTTAGGTTAAAAAAAGTGATTTGTTCTTTATCTAAAATTCTCATGTAACTTGTCCCTGTATTTTTTTCTGGCCACCTTATAGTCATCTCCATTTTATATTTTTTAAAAAGTTTAGCTCTGCTGGTAATTTTGAAGTATAAAACAGCACCATACTATGAGGTGAGAGAAAAGGCCAAAGTTTCTTTAAAGTCAGACTCTGTGAAAACGTCTGAAGAACTCATTGGGAATTGAAGACTACATTGCCATGGCAACATTCAGAACTTTCTGGAGGCACATACTAATTACTCAAGCCAGATCATTCCCTATAGATTCAAGTGGCCTTCACTCTCACTGACTACAGTGATGGGGACATTTTCTCAAGAGACAGATTGCTAACTAACCTCTGTCCTCTCAACTTGGCACCTACTTCTCTTCCTTGCAAGGGGCTACATCCCTGAAATCTGGAAAATTCAGGGGCCAGTTAACTAGGAGAGTGACAGAAAAATCTCTTCATAATAACATCCATAGATTTCACAATGTTCCCAAGGATTGCGATTACTAGAAACGATTTCCATTTTCTTTTGTGGGATGATGGAGTAAATCAAATAGAAGCTTCATAATTGCATGATGGTTTTCTGAGTTTCAGAAAAGACAGTAATCTTTACCAAGTATGAATGTTCTCATACTCTTACTTAAAATTTTCCCATGGCTGCATATAGCCATCAGTTAACTATCATCCTGGTATTTATTCCTCTGGAAGCCAACGATGACAGGATGATTGAGTGCAAGTTGTTCTAGGTAGGGATGATCCCAAGGTGATCACTGGAGGAAGGAGGGAGTGAGAGACAGATATAGGAAGATAGCCAACCAGGAAGACAAGGCTGATGGGCAGGAAACTTTGGTGGACCATTAGAGCTCAATTCCATTGGGTGACAGTATTAGTAAATGCTTCAGTTACTCTGCACAAAGAGAATTGAGCTATTTATCCACCAGTTACTAGACATCACACATTCATTCATTTACTCCCAACTTAGCCATCCATGGGCTCCTGCGGCCAGAGAAAATGTCAGGCAAAAAGTTGCAGGTTCAGAAAAAAAGGAGGAACAATGTTGGAATATATCTGGGGCACCAACAGAATCTACTCCAGGGACACATCCCTCCCTTCCAAATAACCCATCATTCCACAACGAAAACACTGTGACCGAGAAAGAGAAATCCACTTGACTACAAGCCAATGACCACTGGTTTGGGGGGTTAATCTGAATGTTAAACAGACCAATAACCCATTGATGGAAGCCTTCAAAATTCTGAAGTTCTCCAGGGAGGTTTCTCTCACAAGTCTGGAATATAATCTTTCTGAAACTCAAGAAGTCTGGAATAAACTTCAAGGGAGGTTGATCTTATAAATCTGGTTACTCTTGAGAGCAGTGTAACCAGTCATTGACATCACCAAATCCTCTATGACCTCAGTGTCACTATATTCCCTTCATGCTGTCTTTTCCACTTTTTTCAAATGTCTCTTATATATTTTGTTATCCTGAAAGAACTACTTTGCATGCATCTAAAGTTATAAATTAATTACTTCCACAGGATTGTGATTGGCAAATAAATGGATTTCTTCTCTTGACACTTCAGAAGATTTTTCCAGACATTCAAGGCCATGAGGAACTCCAATTCTGAAGACAGAATAGCTGGATCTGAATCTTACCTCTAACCCTTATTATCCATGTAATCCCCAGCAAGTTACTCATCTGGTGTGTAACTTGGTTTCTCATGCGTAAAATGGATTTAACAATATGGCTTGATTCTCCAGGCTGTTTTGAAAATTCAATCCTTTAATAATTGTAGTGGCCTTCATAGTGACTTATAAGTGTCTGATAAATAACTCTAAAGGGATTAGACTCTAATGAGCATTTAATATCCTCTCACAGTTTAGTGCTCAGGAAAATAATGTTAGATAAAATAGTCCTACCTAGGGGTTGTGGTTGTAGCTCTGTGGTAGAGCGCTTGCCTAGCATCTGTGAGTCAATGAGTCTGATACTCAGCAGCACATATAAATAAATAAATAAATAGATCAAGGTCCATATATATATATATATATATATATATAAGTTATATATAAAACTTACATATATATAATTTTTTTTAAATCCTGACTAGGCTCTGAAGTCATTCATAGTTTCTAAATAGCTTTCTTTTCTTCTTTACTGACACCCTATATTCAACAAAAATAAGGAACACTAACCTTGGCACCATTAAAAGTGACCTTACTAACTAAGAAACCTGCTTTCTCTGTAATTATAGGCATTTGGCCAAAATGAGACACTGACACCTGCCAAACATCAAGTAAAGGTGTATGTATAAAAGCAACTTGTTAGCTCTGGGATGTCTTACCCACTGCTTATTAATTTCTATACTTCATTCCCTTCATTTCCATTCTCTTTATGGTTTTCCTTTTTTCTCCCCTATTTTAAATCTAACCTGTATTGAATTCTTCTTAAGAAATCATCCAAAGAGCAGTTTATAACTATGGACCAAGAGTCAGAAGAATAAAAAATCAGGAATAATCTCATCACTCACGCATAAACCTTTGTAAACTCTGGTAGGCATCCTCATCTTTAAATATATACTTTTTAAAATATTAAATAATAGCAATTTTCTATGTCATTATACTCTATGATATCATTTTTTAAAATTTCATTCCATTTTCAATGCATCCTACTTTTTGCAACTTATCTCCAATGATTGAGACATTTTTACAACTTTTTGCCTATTAAATATATAATAGATGTGCTAGAGATTACTCTTGCCAAACGTGTATGAAGCCCTGAGTTAGAACCCCAGCACTGCAAAAAAATTAAAATTAAAAAAAAATAAATTAAATTAAGAATAAGAAAAATAACAGATGGCAAAGTCCTTGCAGAAGTGTTTTTCCTCAAAGTACTACTTTCTTGGAATTCCTAGAAAATAATGTGTAGCATCACATGGAATTCACATTTTTAGTGCTTTTTACTATGCCAAAATACTTTTAATGCCTAAACATTTTTAGAAAGATTATTCCACCATACATTATTCCTCATCAGCTTTTTATAATGCACAGTTTACCGCTAAACCTCAGCATACTGTATGATCTGAAAATAACAATTTGATATTCAGAAAATGAGAAATATTGTTATGATTTACATTCCTTTGCCTATCAGTGTAATTAAATCTTTTCCATCCGTTTATTGGTGGTTTTAATGTTTCCATTTGTTAATTTCCTACTTACATATTTATTTCCACTTATATATTTTTGTACCTTTTGGGTGATATGTTATTTTCTTTCTCAAATATATGGGCTTTTTATACAGAAGGGACATTAACCCATTGCTGTCACATTTTATCACTTTTTTCCAATTGGCCTTTTTCTTTAAATTTTTATAAAAATTTTAGAGCAATAATGTTTTAGTTCTGTATGTTTGTTTGCTTTACTTTACTGGTTGATTCCTATGGCATTTTTGCCCAACTTTAAATAGACATATACCCATTTTGTATTTAGTAACCAGTTTTTCCTTCTCCTTGCCTAATTTTCAGGATTCCCATAAATCAATGCCAGGAATCCCAAGGCCACTTACCTGCATGTGGTCTAGGATTAAAAAGAAATAAGGAAGAAAAGAAGGAAGGAAGGAAGGAAGGAAGGAAGGAAGGAAGGAAGGAAGGAAGGAAGAGAAAGGAAAGGAAAAGAACAGAAAAGAAAAGAAAGGAAAGGAAAAGAAAGAAGGGAAGGAAGGAAGGAAGGAAGGAAGGAAGGAAGGAAGGAAGGAAGGAAGGAAGGAAGAGGGAGGGAGGGAGGGTGGAAAGAAGGAAAGAAAGAAACAAAAATAAGTGCCAGCCCCAGTTGCTTAAGTCTGCCCAAAACCCAGAAGAATCCATTCTGACATCCCTGGTAGAATTTTGTGGCAAACATTTCAAAGAGAAAAATGAATCCACAAGATCTTTAATTTTTAGAACTAAAATGCCTTAAAATAGTATTTGATTCATGCTCATTTGGCCTTCATTTCCAGTTCTACTGAGCATCAAAAGTTGTCAAGTAAAATTTATTACCAACTTTTATAGGAGTTTTTAAAGCAGAAATTACAGTGATATATGCATAGCCTTTTAAATGCTAATCATTGCTAAGGAACTAGGAAGTTCAAAAATTAGGCACAATAGGAGATTTCTTTACATCATATTTGATTTTCTCTTTGCTGTCTCTTAAGGCAGTTGAAAATGCTCTATTGGAAAAATAATGCATCCATAAAAAAGAATCTTAATCCAAAATCATAGGAGAAAACACAAGCAATCTGATTGCTTCTGTTCTTTTCAGTGTGAAATCACTTTGGCTTGGAGAAAGTAGAAGATCTTTGAAATAGGGTAGCTACCTAGTTAATCCCACTTCTGCCCCTACATAGCTGTGGCCTTGGAAGAGCCATTTCTCAGACCTTCATTTTCTGAGATGTTGATATTAACACCCATAACTAACATTTATTGAGCCACTAATCTATGCCAGGAACTTAATATATGTGAATTTATATTCTCGGTAACCCAATGAGGCAGGTATGAATTTTATCCTCATTTTATAGCTGAGGAACCCAAGGTGTAGAGCAGTATGTTGCCCAAAGACATGCAACTAGAAAATGGAAGAGCAGGATATATAGCATTTTTATGATAGAACCAACAAGCTTATTTTTTCTGAGTGCAGGGAAGTGTTTGCTTGATGCATCAGAGAAGATTTGCTAATCATTTTTCTTCTTCTGTCCCTGTGCTAAGGACATTCTTCCTACCTCTCACAGTTGCAAGTTCCCCATCCACATGAGCCATGCACTGCATGGCAGTAGCCCCAGCACATATTGGCATGCTGACCCACTGTCCTAAAACAGAAGTTGACAAATCGATTTCAGCAACATTCTGGAGCATCCTTGGATATAGCTTCCATCTACGATTAAAAAAAGATAAATAGCTTTAGAATTTGAAAATATAACCAATGATTTGATATGGCATTTTATTCAGAAAGAAAAAAAATATTAGATTTTTTTGCATCAAGCAGATGATATCACAAAGCTAAAAGATAAGAAGCAATTTTAATTGTTAGGGCAGAAAGTTAATAATAAGATGATAAGGAATATGATGCAGAACAATACATGGCACCCCTTAGCATGTAAAACTTTATTTTTATGTATGTATCAATCAAAATTCAAACATACAAAAAAGATGACAATGAATTTCCCAAGCTATTTATTTATTATTTCTTACTAGCAATTTTTAATTAAAGTATAAAGAGCATACAGTAGAATTTACCAACACTTTTGTACATGTTTGTAGATTGTGAAAAACATATATAGTGGCATAACTGCTAAGAAAATGAGGAGCCTTAATAGCTCAGTTTCTCCTAAATTTTCCCATGCCTGCCACCTTTCCTGAATATGCAAAGTGCATTTAGTCCATCTTCAAGAGTTCCCAAAGTATTAACGGTTTCAGTGTTGCCTAAAATTCCAAGTCCAGAGTTTCATGTTAGATTTAAGACAAATTCTTTACTGTAAGTGTGAGCCACTGTAAAAAGCAAAAGCAAGTTATATATATCCAATATATAGTGCCACGAGTAAACATTCTCATTACAAAAGGAAGGAATAGATGCATGTAATGAAGGAATGGGTCTAAAATTCAGCCAGGCAAACAAGTCCTGCATGTGTACAGACACTTGGTAGTGAGATGTGATAACCAAAAGACTTGTGTAATTCCATCCCTGTGGCCTTGTTGGTTGCCATCCAATTGGCCTCTATCTTAGGCAAGCTGTCTGCAGTCAGCAGCTTCCCTTGGCAGGTGTTCTATTTAATTGACATCTCTGAATCCCAGGGGTCTTTATTGCAGCTTTGACTTCACTCTGCTGACTTCATGCATTGTCTTCTCAAAGATGCCTGCAAGGATTCCAACCCTGCTACACTTTGCCTGGCCTCCCAGACCTTTGAAATCTAAGTGGAATCTTCCATCACCCCCTAACTCCAGCATCCTGCATTCCTGCAGAACCAGCACCAAGGAGATATCAACAGCTGCTGCCAGCTCCAACAGTACATGGGACTCCTTGGATCAGAGCCGCACCAGCTTCTGAAAGCTGAGGCAGCTGAGTGCAGTGAAATCAATCCTGGGCAAGAGATTTCCAGATTCCCCCCATTGTCAGAGTTCCACCAAGGTGTCTTCTCAAAGGAGTTTTCATTTTTACACCCTTGAACCAGCCATGAGTGTGATCTTGCTGATTCCTCTCAAAGCATCTTTCCTATTCTTTCTGTGCAAAGTACTTAACTTCACTTTATTGGTGGTAATCTCTTCAGCAACCACATCTTCTTTGGCCTCAGTTTTATTTGTGTTTTTTTTTGTCCAAACCACAAATTTTTAAAACTTATTTTCTTCTGCATTCTGCTTCTGATTCTCACAGTAAACCTGTGAAAATAATTTAGAGGAGGAAAGATTTATTTGGGGCTCATGGTTTCAGAAGTTCAGGCTATGGTCAGCTTATCCCATTGCTGTAGGCCTGAGGTGAGACACAACATCATGGAGTATAGCACAGAGAAGCTTCTCAGCTCATGGCAGCTGGGAGGCAAAGAGACAAAGCCCCACTTGCTTTTACAGTAAAACACTCCCCATCTCAATCCTCTGGCAACCATAAATGTGTTTTTTTGTTGTTGGGTTGCTTTTTTTGTTTTTTTGTTTGATTGTTTGGTTGGTTGGTTGGTTTTGTTTTTTTGTTTTAAAAATTTTGCTTTGCAAGAATATCCTAGAGTCTTTAATAATATTCTTTTTCCTTTGAATATAATGAATTTGAAATCTGTCCATGTTGTTGCATTTATCAATAGTTGGTGCCTTTTGATTAATGACTAACACTCCACTATACAGGGGTATCACAGTTTGTGTATCCATTCCCAAACTAAGGGACATTTGAAATGTTTTCAGTTTGAAGTGATTATACATAAAGCCACTATAAACATTGACCTACAGGTTTTTGAGAAAACATAGTTTGTATTTCACTTCCCTCTGGTCATTTTGAAGATGGACAGAGGCTCAGAAGGTGGATTAGAGTTGAAGAAGATATATTACATCACTTTCTCTTCTTTTTTCTGTAATGCATAGTAGCTGCAATTGTTTTTTAAATTATAATTTGCTTTCTTCAACATGGTTGAGCTGAATGCTGTACTCATTGATGTGTGATAATGAGGAAGGATAACCCTTTTTAGATGAGTTGAACATTTTCCTTGAAAATATTAGTTAACTGAAACCAGAATTTTGGGCTTAAACAGTTTTTGACTTCTGAAAATTATCTTACATGATTTTTTTTTCTGTGATTCTTCCATGTTGGAGTAAAAAATTTCAAAAGCAAAACAAACAAAAATTCACTAGTAAAACTTACAGACGCAACAATTCTCTTTTCTCCAAGCAAAATGTACATCTCTAACTCATTTGGGTTCATTATTTTCCTCATTAATGAACGACTAAAGCTGAAGAAAATTCAGTCTTATTACTAATGAGTATTGGTCTAATGAATTGCTTGCCACAGACACACATCTATACCTAACCAACACTTAACTCACACTTCCTTTCCTAGAGAGATTGAAGTTTTTTTCAGTAAATATGGAGAAATGTGATATAGTAATGGAGTAATTGAGGAAAAAAAAAAGTCCTCATTTGAAGCCAACTTCAATTGAGAAATTCTGCCTTAATATTGCTTGTGAACTAGCTAAGGGTCTGTAATCTAACCCATCCATTATAAAGTAAAACATCCAGTCCTTAAAAAGCACCATAAAGTAGTTTCACTGTGTGATTTCTATGCTATTCCTTTGAACATCATAATTGTCATTATTTATGTCACACCGTACGCTATGCTGCTGGAAGTCTTTTCTTCTCCACTGACCTTCACAGCATGATTCTTTGATCTCCGTGTTGAAGGGAGAGAGGCAAAAGCCTTGAAGGGAGCTTTTATTACCAACCATGTGTGTTCTTAGAATGAGAGAAAAAGATTTTAATAGCAGCCATTGGCATGCCAGCTAGGAAGGCACTAATATTGACTCAGGGCTGGGGAAACAATGAAAGCCTTTATGGAGAGGATACACAAAGCTACAGGGTATGGGCTAAGGGTGTGTGTGTGTGTGTGTGTGTGTGTGTGTGTGTGTGTGTGTGTGGCAAAGGGGACTTTTTCAATGTCTTATTCCTATTTGAAAAGCCAGGCTCTCTCCAGACAGCAGCTTTACACTTCTCCACCTGGTGGCGCAGTCACCTTAATAACTGTGCTGCTGTTGCTGCTTTCGCCACAAATGCTATTTTCTGTGCTGAGGATGTTACAGTGAATCATCAGCCAATGAACGAAATCCAATTCTGGGCAAAATCAGATAAAGTCAATGGAGCGGGAAAATGTTCATCCTCTAAGAGTCATCCACGTTTGGACATTTTCCAAAGTTCAAGGACACTGAGTTTGCCAGATGGTTCCTATAGCTTTCCAAGCCCTACACAGCCCACCCGAATGAAACTGACTGTCCCAGGATCATGCAAAAATGATGCTCTCATGGGGCCTCAGTTTTGGAAAGTCTTTAAAGATGCATCGAATGGTTGAACCAACTGAAGAATAAGACTTTTTTCAAAGGATAGAAAATAAGATGCCATTAACAGGACTTTTAGCCCAAGGAGGCCCTCAAATTTAACTTATCAAAAAAAAAAAAAATCAACACAGGCACACACTCTCCAAGAGGTGACTGCTCTTGGAAGACATCCCAGCTTTAAAGCCTTGTGCTTATTGATCACACCTACCAAGCACAATGAATGACTGTTGCCTAAGTCCTTCAAACACTGTCACCTTGCATTCCAATTCCCTTACCTTAATATTTTACTTTGAGACAGAATGCAAAAAGTGCCTTAACCACCTCTGGTGGCTGTTAATTAATAGATATTGTGATGAACACTGAAAATGCTACTGGTGAGTTTATATGGCTTCTGGAATATCAAAGTAAAAACATCATCACTTTTATTCTTCAGTGATTAACAGAAGAAAAGCACACAGTTGTCAGTGTCATTAGGTGACCTACAGTGAAAGAGAGGAGCTTCTATTTTTGAAACCAGAGGGCTTCTGAGTACCCAAATTATAGAATGATTTTCTATCAATAATTATTTCAGAAAAAGCCACAATATATGTGCAGATCATGCTTTAGGAGACTGCTTTGAGAGCATGTAGATGAGAAAAAAAATATACCATTCCTTCTCAAATTAGCCCTAATTAGGTCAGGTCACAAAAATGCAGCAAGCTGACATTCACTCTGTTCTTATCATATTTATATTTGCAATAGGAAATTTCGTTCTTCTGAGTAGTTCCATTTATTCTTCATTTTGTTTTTTGTTGTTGTTGATTGATTGTTTGTTTTTGTTGTTTTTTTTTTGGTTACAGTAATACTAATGGCCCAAGTCTTTTTCTTTTTTTTTTTTTTTATTGGTTGTTCAAAAGTCTTTATCATAAATGTCTCCAAGCGATAGCTGGGTCACATGAGTGGCCCCAGTCCCCAAAACTCCAAAATGTAGTTGTCCGATCTGAGTACAGAGAGATAAACACTGTTACTTTAAATGACTCTTTGTTGTCCTTGTGGTAGGAGGAGACCATTTCACAAATGTCTTTGAAATACCCTGACCTTAAGTTACAACGGGTTATCTGAGGTTTAGGTGTTGCACCCTTTATTTGAATCAGAGTCAAAAAAAATTTCAGGGTGATTTCTTTCATGCTATCAACCCAAAGCCACCAAAACCCTGGCAGAAAATCTTTTAGTTACATGTGACATCTAGATAATACAAGACAAAGAATCAAGGGTCACCCAGCAAGTCACACAGCAAAAGAGGAATTGAGATGTGAAATAGGTAACCATGAGTATGTGTTGCAATACAATCTCAAGTGCTCGATAACAAAAGAGTATCAGCTGCCTTCCAAAGTTGATAATGTCTTTTTTTTTTCTTTAAGGATGAACAAAAATGAATTGTCAAGATTCATGGTAAAGGTGGCATTGCAAACTCTTTCCTATTACCTGCCACTCTTCCCTAAATTTCTCAGTGCACACATAGGAAGGTAATAATCTCTGGAGTGCCACATGATTCAAAATAAGCCACAGGATGGTTTTCCAGTTCATAACTTGAAGTGCCCAAGTCTTCTGGTCTCACAAAGTTCTCGAATCTCGAGGGTTGCAGCACCCTTTGGCTCTTTTCTCCGAAGGCTTCTCTGAGCCAACTGTTTGGAGTCCATTTAATATTAATTCAATCCTCCAGAATTATGGGAACCCAAAGTCAATATGCGTTCATGGGATTTAAGCTCCTGTGGATGGAATTTGCTCTGGCTCACTGTTCTGTCCTCAGCTGGTAGTACAGACCCTAGCCCCTAGAGACTGCTATAAGCAGAAGTTAACTCATTGGCAAGCATTGGGGGAGGGGCCAAGGAGTGTGGAAAGCTGTATAGAAATGGCCTGGGTGATCACCAGCACCAATGCTGAGACACCAGCTTCCTGCGTGTATCAAGGGCTTGAAATTCCCTTGGTTGTAATGGCCCATTTGGTTTCAGGTGTTGTTTTCAGACCACTCACAGAAGAACCATGTCACCTGTCGAATAGAATTGACATGGGGGCAATTGACATGACAAGATGTCCAAGAAGGGACATCTTCCAGAAGCAGAAAATTTTGATGGGGTCCAACATAGAAAGAAATGATTAGAAAAGATTAGATTATGCAGAAATGTAAGCCCCTCCACTCTTAGGCAACAATCCCTATCATGAATTCCCCAGAATTTTCGAGTTCAAATGGGGGAAAACTTGAATCAAGGGTTGCAAGGTCTGGGATAGGTCCTACCCTTTATTCCATGGCCAACCTGGGGCATCCTGACCTGTGGGTCAATCAGCGCTGCCTGCAGGAGATCAGCTGGGTTAGAATGATTTTATCTGTCCTAATTTACATATAGCAAAGTGATTTTGAGTGATTTCACTCTAGATTCAAGAACTCAAAAAGAAGCAGACTCTTCCTCCCTGGATATTTTCTGTCTCTTTTCCTTTAATTTATCACCATAATGAGCACCTACACTATTCATTGCCTTTAGTAAGGACGGTAATGGAAGATGGATGGAACTAACAGTGTATTGCAGCCTCCCCTCCCCTCCTCCAGAAAATAAACCATTTCTGTATCTGCTGAGAGAAAAACACTCCTATAAAGATATCTTGTTCCTTGTTTTTATTACAAACAGAAAACATAAACCATGACATTCACCATCTTGTATCTTGAAATATGAAAGTCAAGGGAAAACTAATTTGGGAAGAGAAATGAAGCTTTTTGCAGGAGAGATGAAACAGTGAAGTTGAAAGATGAATGTTACGTAGACAAATTGAAATCTAAAGTGGAAGTTTAAACAACAGTAATCAAAATGAATGATAACACAGGAAGCCAGCAGGATGGAAACATCTGAGGCAGTAATCCTATCTGGTTCAACCAGATAAGATGGCTATCTTGCAGTTAGTGTTATTTCCTACCCCATGAACATGAGCACTCACTGTCACTCTCACAGAAAAATAAATAAATAAAATAAAATAAAGGCATCAAAATTTATGACTAATGTTATGTGTGGTTAAATTAACTACCATCATACTTCCAAGTGTAGACAGAGGGGTAGCTTTTACAGTCAATTGTTCAAGATTCTCAGCTTTGGAATATTTCAAACAATCCAAGAACTCAAGATTCTTCACATCCCCCCAGAAATTTCCCCTCTCCATTAAATGCATATCTAGACAAATAATTCTACACCACCAGCACAAACCTGGATCTCATTTTGATGCTATATCTTAGTGTAATATTAAAGCACAATTTTACATTAAAAAAATTCTTACCTGGAGAATGCTGTAATATTATCAGCCAAGGTCTCCTGATCATTTGCCCCAGATCTATAATAGTCATATATAGACTTTTGAAGCACTGATTTAGCATGTTGTTCATAGTCATCGATACAAACCAGCCGGGAGAACATTTTCCTAGCTTATTGCGACCTCGGCTGTTACTGGCTTTTTGTTGTTTATTTTTTGAGTATTGCCTTCTACACCCTGACAATTCCATTATTTGTCAATTATTAATAGACTTTTGTCAAAGTTCATATTTAGTTCTCTGTTGCTTACATCAAGTAAGCAAACATTATATGCTTAGACTTTGAAATTTAATTTGCAAGGTTATCCACCAAAGAACACCTAAGCCACAAGAAGTTGAGATTGGGGAGGCAGAAGGGGGCAATGAAGTGTCTATCACATTGAAAAAGCAGAGAAATGAATAAAAAAAATAAGGACTTAGTATCTATGTGAAATCACTTTTGGTTTAGTTGTGCCTATGGCTGATTCTTCCACGTTACCTGCCTTTGGTCTTTGCTTTGTTCCCAGAACAGAACTGCCCACTCATTTTCCTTCCACATTTGGATCATGTACATATTATATGAAAATGAAATACACTTCTACCAAATATGAAATTTAGCTGATTATAAACCTTTGGCTTTAACACGGAACATTATGGCCACATTCACAACTAATTCTTAAAAATTATCCCTTGGAGGGGATATAGAGAAGTGCCATTCCAAAGGACAGTGTGATCTCAACCTAAAATTTCACCCAATCACAGAATATCCAATGATGGTTTGGATCAGCAAGATGTGATTAAGAAAGCAATGTTCCCATCTCTTCAACAGCTGACCTCCAACTGCTTACAAGTGTATGAGAATTTTCTTCTAAATTTGGAGCCTGCTTTTCCATCCACATGACTGAAATGCTTAGTGTTATGAAATCAATATCTCATGGAACAGCCTTCAACCATGAACTTAAGGGAGATGGTGCATAAATACCACCTCAAATCCCTCACTCCTCTGGTGGAATCATTCCTCTGTTCTGATTCTATGACACAGGCTGCAGTTACCCACAGTGAGTTGCTTAATAACCCAGCGGTAGTGAGTGCTTTCCTTTGGTCTCACTGCCCTACACCTTATCAATGCTCATTCCATCTCCCAAACAAAACCCTTTTATTTGAATGCTTGTCTCACAGTCTTCTTTTGGTGAAACCCAAACTAAGACAAGGATAAATATTAACAACTATTTTGAGGGTTGACTGTCATGAATAAAGGGCATAGCATTATTGAAACACTTAGCATGTATGAGATATGTAATAAATACTCTCTGCTCTTCTCGATATAGTTTGTATTTTTTTTTCTAAAAGAGTTTTTCTTAATACCAATTATGTTAAAACAAATCCCGCACATGCAAGAGAATGAAAAAATAGATTCTTGGGCTTTTATGACATCATTGCTGTTCTGCAAGTCCATTGGTTCCTGAGTATTTTCTTGTTACATTTGCAATTAGTTCAATTTATTTTCTATGCCCTCAAGAACAATGCCTTCCTGAAGTAATATAGATTTTTATATCTGGATCTTTTGAACAATTGTCTTAACTTGTACTTTATGAAATTCCATAGAGTAAATAGGATAGGATGTAGAATCATAGGGTCTTACACTGAGTGAGGGTCTTCTAAGTATTTTGTAGTGAAAAAGCATCCAAGGTGAAAAGAATTACTAGGATTTGGTATGTAATCTGTAATACAGTTTTGACCTACCTGTGGCCACAGAGCAGACAGAGTCCAGTCAACTATCATGTAAAATTCCTGCTCTGTGCATCACCAAACAGAGCAGAGGCAGGATGTGGACCATATCTACTTGTATAACTAACAAAGCAACTAGAAACCAAAGATGCTGGTTCGATAGCAGTTCATTGGACAAACTGGGAATGAAATAAGCACCCAAACTATAAGCATATCTAGGCCTTTCCCAGCTTTAAGGAAAAACATAATTTTTAAATTGATTTTTTAAAAAATAAATGACAGTGGAATACATTATAATTCTTATTACACATCTACAGCACAATTTTTCATATCTCTGGTTGTATATAAAATATGTTGACACCAATTCATGTCTTCATACTGTACTTTGGATAATGATGTCAATCACATTCCACCATCCTTGCTAATCCCCTGCCCCCTCCCTTTCCCTCCCACCCCTCTGCCCTATCTAGAATTCATCTGTTCCTCCCATGCTCCCTCCCCCACTATGAGTCAGCCTCCTTATATCAGAGACAACAGTCGGCATTTGTGAAAAACATAATTTTAAAAAGGAAATGAGTTTTGATTTAATCAAACACGTTTTGTTTGAATTATTTATTATTTAGTTAGGATTGACATTAATTATACCTATGTTGATTCTAAAGTTTACAAATGCTTACTTAGTGACAAATAAAATGATATACAAAAATTGCTATTAAAGGGCTCAATTCCCAGCACCAAAAAAAGGGAATAAAAAAAATTTTAATTTAAAATTGCTACTGGGGCCAGGCACCGTGGCACACACCTGTAATTCCAGCAGTTCAGGAGGCTGAGACAGGAGAATTGCAAATTCAAGGCCAGCTTCAGAAACTTGGCAAAGCCTTAAGCAACTTAGTGAAACATTGCCTCAAAACTAAAAATTGGAAAAATAAAAGAGCTGGGGATGTAGCCCAGTGGTTAAGTGCCCCTAGGTTCAATTCCTGGTACCTAATAATAATATTAATAATATAAAACAAAAATAAGAATGTAAAAAACCTGTTGATAAGATAAACAAGTTCTAAATAATTTATTTTGACAATTAATAAAGCCATCATGAACATTGATCCAAGGAATCTCAGTTGCTATTGAGTATAGATTCAAAATTTGCAAACTAAACATGATCTTTTTTTTACATATTCCATCACTGTCAATTATTAAAAGTTAATTTGCTGTTATTGAAAGTTGCATCTTGCAACTAATATCATTGGGATAAACAGGCAGTTTGGTGTTCTATGGTGAAACTTCAGCAGGTCATGTCCTGGTACTACTGAGGAAGAGAATAAGGGCCAGCATTTCTCAAAATGTGATCCTGTACCGACATCATTGATTGGCCTCCCCAGAAGGCTGATAGGAACAGGCAGTCTCAGGCACTGGCCTGAAGGAGAAATTATGGCCATTGGTGTGGCAAGAATCATCAGATGATGCTGACATGTGATACTGTTTGAGAGCCAGAATTTGGGCAAAAATGGGGAACCGAGAAGTATATTGAAAGAGGCTTGAATTTAAAAGGACAAACAAGCCCCCCACTCTTCTTCTATAGGAGGGCATCTGATCAATTGATTTGGAATAACATCTTAGTAGATGGAAATGCAATCCTCACACTGCTTCACTCATCTCTCAGTGGAAGGGCAAAATGAAGTAGTTGGTGTTTAAAACAGATCTTGTTAATTTGTGATGATTACGTTCCGGAAATATCTCACATTCTTTTAGAGACAATGCAATCTTGTAAACCTCCTCTGGAGGCTCGGTGAAGTGAGATGCTTAAGCAGGACCCAGGGGAAAGCAAGCTCATGTCTTGTTCAGGCTGCTAAGGGCTGCATGTGTCACAACTGTTCCCTCCTCCACTCCCTAATTTGAGAATCAGATAGTAAATTATGCAAATGACATCTTCTTAGTTCAGGTTCACCCCCTTTCACAGTGGCCAAAAGACCAGGGTTTTTTGTTTGTTTGTTTTCCTGCACTGGACTGTAGAATCTCTACTTCCCACCTTCCTTAGCATCCTAATAAAATCTTAGGCAGAACAATGTCCCAACATCTCCACAACTGTGGGATGGTTTCCAAGCCACAGGGCTCTCTTGCAGAACTCTCACCTGATGCTTAAACTCTTAAAGCAAAACTCTTAAAGAAAAGCTGAAGCATGAGCTCCGAGGAATCAACGAGATCTCTCTATCTTTTTCAGGGTACTCATTGTCACTTCACAGGCAGTTTAGACTGTTGTTTGAAGAATGTCTTGTTTCCAGCTTTTATCCTTTTACAAAGCTTCTTGTTTTAAATGAGAGAGGTTTGGTGGAATCTTAGTCATTTCCACCATCCTACACACTGGAAAAGGCTAAGTTTTACAATTACCCAGCACCACTGACAAGCAGGCACTGGGTACCCTGGATAGCTGGAGAGAGTGCCTCTGACCCATAGGGTGACCATTTTGTTGTGGTTTCATGTATTTTTCCCTGATGATTTACAATTTTGATCATCTTTTTATTGGCCTTTTATTTTCACACTTTAGTGAAATCTTTGGCCATTTTTTAAAAATAGAATTCTGGTTGTTATTGATTAGTAGATTTTCTTTATATATTTTGGCCATAGGTCCTTTGAAGTTATGCCCGGGTAAATTGCACTTTTACTAAGTTCTTGACTTGCCTTTACACACTAATAATGTCAGTGTCAGCCTCAAATCTGCATGATTGTGAGCTTGTGGTTAGAACTTCTCAGTTTTCTTTCTCTTTATTTTGGCCTCCCTTTTCCCCTTCCTCACTCCCTCCCTTCCTTTCTTCCTCTTTCCTTCATCATTTTTGGTGGTGTAGGGGATACTGGAGACTGAACTCAGGGGCACTCAATCACTGAGCCACATTCCCAGCCCTATTTTGCATTTTGTTTAGAGACAGGGTCTCACTGAGTTGCTTAGCATCTTGCTGTTTCTGAGGCTGGTTTTGAACTCTCGATCCTCCTGCCTCAGCCTCCAGAGCTGCTGGGATTACAGGCATGCACCCAGCTTTGTCTTCATCTTTGACTTTTTTTTTTTTTTGGTCTTCTCTTACTTTTTCCCTTTCTTCTTCCTCCTCCTCCTGATTCTCTTTTTATTAATTCTCTCTTTAACTTTCCTTTATCTCCCTCTCTCCAATCAGAGCCCAGTCCTAGACAGGTAACTTACCTTCAGCGAGTTGAATTTTCTTTTTCTTGTTTATACTCTAAAAGCATTGCCCTTTGAGGTCCTGGCTCTGAGCTAGGATTAAAGGGTATATGAGTACTTACAGACTTCTGGGGAAGGTTCCCTCTTTATTTTCTGCAACAATATGACTTGGCAAGCAGTCACCTGGGGTGGATGAAGGCTGATAGGAGGGGTGCAGAAGGTTGACTTCTGCTTCCACTACTGTGAGTTAACAACCTTCTGAGTATTGGTTTATAAAGTGATAAATAAGATTTGCCTGCCGTTCCTCCAAGGTCCAAGAGGCCATTAAAAACAGAGCCCCAATGCCATATTGGGTTCAGCACATGTTCCTGAGGTAAAGGTGGCTTCAAGATGCTATTTACTTCTGTGGGCTCTTGCTCTCACAGATTTTGGTCTGTTTAGTCCTTATTACTTTAAAGGGACTGATGCCTTTAGAAATGTGTTTGTTATATTTAAAGTAACTTTCCATTATGTTCAGCAGAGTGGTTGAATTGGAAGAGTTGAAATCCCTTTATTAGCATGAAAATAAGGAACCAAAATCATTTGACTACTAACTAGTGCTCACGAATTAGCAGGTTTTTTGTTTGTTTGTTTGTTTTTATTATCCCACATACAGTATTTCCCATGGATCATCCCTTAAAGCAAGATCTTCCAGAACTCTATTTCCTGGGGGTGCCCTCAGCATCTCATCTTTGTACAGCATTCTCCATAGCATGCTGCTTAAAAGAGGCTCAGCAGATGGGGAACTTTCTGCTTTTTGTCACTTATCAGCCTGTCATTGCTTTTATTTTTACAGATTTGTTGTATTTTTTGGCTCCTTGAAAATACTCCTTACTTTCTTGTCATTCCAGTTACACCCTGTAAAGTATGCTTATAACATTTTATTTCACATCTGTAGGAGTTTTGTGAAAAACATTTTAGTTAAGTAAGTCCATGTATCTCTAATGATGGCTCTTTAAATATAGGCCTTCTCTTATACAGAAATGTAAGTGCTTTATATAGTCAAACATGTCATAGCATTACTGATGAGCTTTTTAGTCTCATTTTTTAAATCTCCCAGAGGTCTTAAAGGCATTCTCCCATATTTTCATCTGGAACTGATCGTTGTGCACTGGTGTAGTTGCCATTTTGCTTTGGTAAGTTAAGTGGACCAAATGTTTGACTCAGGAAATGTATCAGCTCCTCCCTTTCAAGGCACCGTAGTGAGACCAAATATTCTGGTTCCTTGTGGACAGGGCCAACCTGGTTTGGGTTCTTGGCAATGATTTGTCAGTGTATGGGACTCTCAAATTGGGGTTGGAGCACAAGATCGCCAATGCAACATCTTTCCTAGATGTGTTTTCCTTGCAGAGTAGCCAGCTCTGTCCTAATGCTTGCCACAGTATCAGCCTGGGTGATGTTAACCCCAGGCATCACATTGTGTGATCTCAAGTTATATCATTGTCACTGAGTCACATGACAATATGTACATATATATGTATATATATGTTGCTCTTAAGTTACATAATATATATCAATGTTTTATACATGTATATACAGGCACACATATACACACATACATACTCACATATAAACATATGGCCTAAGGTAGAAATTAATTTAGTTTTCCAAGAAAATAACCAGTTGTTTCATCATCACTTGCTGGATAACCCATCCTTCCCCACTCATTTAATAATAATATTCATTAAAACAGAATTGTTCACACTCTATGACCAATAAAACCTAAACCTCTCCTTTTAGTTTACAAAAGACTAACTTTATGAGGATATTTCTTGCATAGACATAAAGATATTTGCAAGGTGAATAATGAAAGCAGAAGGGTTATAGATGCTAGACATTATGGGGTTTGTAAGCAGTGAACAGGAAGGTAAAGCTAAGGAAGCTATTCTAAAAACACAAGTGTAGTTCGGACCAGTGAGCAAGAGGGGAAAGAGCAATAATGAAATGTCATACTCTCTGATTTTGGAGATTAGGATTCAGAATCAAAATGACCCTCAATGATACAATTTTATTTAAACTGTTCTCTTCTGCTTGGAGGAAAAGCCCTCCATATTTTTTTTTAAAAAAGAC